AACTGTGTGAAGAAGCCATCATTTTCTCTCTAACTCAAGTGGAAAACACTAAGTCTAGCAAGGTTACATAATTAGCATAAGATATCTATTTAATGTCAGGACTGGGATTTGAGTTGGAAAGACTAAAATATATGTCTTTACAACACTGAGAATATGTTAAACATAACTGAACTGTAAAGTTTTACAAAATTAATGCTATATTTGAGCTTCATTTCAATAAAAATGTGTAAAAATTTTGAAAATCAGAAAATTAGGGACTGAAGATGTGGTGCATGCCTTTAATTCCAGTACTTGGAAGGCAGAGGCAGGTGGATCTCTGTGAGATCGAAGACAGCCTGGTCTACACACTGAGTTCCAGGCCAGCTGGGGCTACATGGGGACTCTGCCTTTAAAAAAAAATCAGGAAAAAATGTGTTTACATTTTCTCTCAATTTAACTAAGCCATAGTATTGTGAATGGAAAAATGCCTTGGACACAGCTTTCTGTGACCTTGAACAAGTTATTTAACTCCAGAATTCAGTTTCCATGTATATAAGTATAGCTAAAATAAGGGAAGGGTGGGCTAGCTAGGTGCTTTCTAGGTGCCTCTTCTGGTCTAAATCTGGGTTCTAATGTTTGTGGCAGAACACTAGCAAGTTTTTATTGACCCCTGTGGGTAAAAGCTGAACCATTGCTGTCACTTTATTTGTATGACTTAAGATAATTTATTATTTTACCAAAAACTAAATAAATTCAAATTTGCTATTTGATACCTGTAGTAAAGCATCTATCCACCCCTAAAGTCTAATAACCATAACAACTGGCCTGATAAACTACCTCTATTGGTCCAGTAGTGGCACTGTTTTCTGGGGGGGCAATCAACAGCTATGGAATTGGACTTAAAGCCCTCTCAATGGAAGTGAACTCATGGGTGGCACTGTAAACTCAGCCAAATACACATGGCAGAAGAGGACATGGATCTTAGAGAAGACCCTATTTCTTTCATATCTCTAGACAAATGATATTTCTTACTATATACTAAATATGGATCCTTATATTTACAGACAAGCATACCGTACACCACTCAGCAAAGAAGTTTCTTTTTGCAACAGATGGAGGCTACTGAAGAATTGCACATCTGGTCAGACACAAAGAGCATACATCTGAGAGATGCTCAGTAGTAGGCGACACATCTACAGTTGAACCTCTACACCTAAGGCTCATGGAACATAGTGAAACAATGGGTAGAGAGAAAACTAAACGCTTCCCTCAACTCTCACCGGTGAAGTTTCCTTATACAACAGAGTGTGATGGACACAGAAGACCATGACAGGCCAAGCTTTAAAGAATAAGAGACTGCAGAGTGTAGGCTAGGATTCCTATATGGAACCTCATCCACCCACAGTTCAGGGACCATTGCTGAAGAGGGGCAGAAAGATTGTAAGCCAGGGCTGGTTCATGAACACAGGGAAGCAGAGGCTTTCAGGCCACTGGAAGCTTGCACATTTGAACTTGTTGCAATGGTGGCGTTGAGCACAGGACTCATGCCAACTCAGTTAAACAAGGGCACAAAGGAGAGGTGAGAAATAGGTGGTGGCTGGCACTAGACTGAGCACTATTGGAGACTGATTGCTACTGGGTGAGGGAGAGTATGCCTTACATACGATCTCTAGATGGACTGACTAGACTCCAGCAGTGGATGAATTTGCACTGAAGGACATTTGGGTAAAAGTGCCTGGATAGGACTTAACATATATGGTGGAATATGTGAGGTCCGGTGGAGGGATAGGGGAGGCATGGATGGGGGAAAGTGTCTAAATTTGATTAAGAACTGTTGTATGAAATTACAAAAACTCAATAAATATATATATATATGAGCATTTAGCTTTGTTTACATTTTGTTATGTAAACAAGAACTAAGACTCATAGCCTTTTTAATGAATATCAAATATTCATTAAATATTACTTATTCTCAAATGTGATCAGGAGCAAAGAACAAATCAAATGAAATTTTCTTTCTCCCCCATCAACCATAGTTTTCTATTTTATCAAAAACATAACCTTTTCAACAATTTTATCATATTTAAAAATAACCAACAGAATTAATTGGCAAGAAATATGGGAGGAGATTAGAGAAAAGCAGGGGTATGGATATGGATAATATCAAATGCTAAAACCCACAATGTAAATATATATATTCCTGTAAATCAATAAGAAACAAAAGTGAAGGCTGAAGTTCAGGGATAGAGTGCTTTCCTAGTACACTCATGGATTCCATCCTCAGCACAACAAAGAAAAAAAAAAGAAGAATGTACCACCTCACAAATAAGCTAAGTAGAATGGTCTATTTACTGAAGAAAAATAGAAGTGATCAGTAACTATATAGCTATTTCTCTCAAAGATAGTAATAACTGCAAGTGAAAAACATAAGATTTGCTTTCATTCATTCATTCATTGAATTGGACAAGGAAGGAAGATATGTGTGGGTGTCTGAGAAATTCTGTCTATTCTACTAATGTTGATTCAATTTGGGACAACCTTCTAGAAGGCAATTTGCCATGATATATTAAAATTCATAAAATACTCATATTCTTTGCTCCAGAAATCTTATTAATAGGAAATAAGCACGGATCTGAAATAAGATTATTAGTGACCTTTACTTCTCCTTCATTCTGTAAAAAGAAGACAGTTTGATTATATGTATTGTGATGAATCCTTTAATAGTATATTATGTCAACATTAAATATAGTCTCTAGTCACTATATTGCAGAAAGTGTTACAGTATTATATTCTTTCCTTTTAAATAAATGTATTAAAACCCATACAAAGTTAAATCTACTTATCTCGGAGTACTATGATTCCATATGAATGTTATTTGATTTGCCTTGCTTTTCTATTTCTTTGATTTCCTGCCTTTTCTGTCATAGATGTCATCTTTAGTCCACCTCCAAATAAAGACAGACTTTAGAATGTTTACTGGTGACACTAAGTGTTCCACCTAGGACCAATGGTAAAAGAGAAGATCCAAATGCTACTGACACTTGTTCCTCTGTCAGTAGGCTCTGTGTTAAGCCATAAAAATTTTACAAGACACACCCTTCAAAGTGCTATTTTTTTTAAATCTTAATAATTTTTATTTATTCTTTGGAAATTTCATGTGTACATATTGATCCTATCCAACATAAATCCTTCCCTCCCATGCCTCCAGACCCCCAACTCTTCCCTCCCCAAACTTTATATCATCTTCTTTTAATGACCCACTGAGTCCAGTTAGTGCTGACTGCAAGCACATGGGCATGAGGCCATTTACCAGAGCATGGGCACTCTACCAGCAGCCACACCCCCAGAGAAAAAGGACTTCCCCTCCCCCAAAGCCATCAGCTACCAATAGCACCTCAGCTGGGGTGGTGCCTTGGAGCCCCTCTCCTATCCATGCTGGAATGCCGACCAACTTGAGCTTGTGCAGGTCTTATGCAGATAACCACAGTTGCTTTGAGTTCATGAGTGCAACAGGCATGTCACGTCCAGAAGACAGAATTTCACAGCACCCCTCCCCATCTTATAGCTCTTGTATTCTTTCTACCCCCTAGTCCATGATGTCCCCAGAGCCTTGGTGGGAAGGGTTGATACAGATGTCTCATTTAAGGCTGAGAACTCAATAGTCACTCATTCTCAGCAGGCTAGAGAATTTTTTTTTCTACCAACATTCTTTTTATTTATTTCTTGTGTTCATAAATGAATGGAATGCTGAATATTAATTAGTGATTAAGGAGAAAAAAATGTAAAATATCCAGCTTCACAGATCAGCCATGAATTCTGTCCATATATTCAATGTAAAGAACACTTGGTCCAAAGATTTCCAGAAGGGATGAGGAGCAGGGGCCAGTGGGGCAATGGATAACGCGCCTGACTATGGATCAGAAGATTCAGAGTGCTGTTTTTAAGGCAGCCAGTAACAATGTAAGGGAAAAGAGAAGATCTGTGCCTCTCTCTTGCTTCCTCACCAATGCATCACATCACAGGAAGCTACAATTCATATATTTACTCTAATCAATACAGCTAATGCTGAATTGGGAGCTATTTCTTTCATTAGGCAGCATTTTCCAATTCCTTTTCATCAGTCATTTCAGTAGAAATAGCATGGCTCTGGTAGCTTGGTTAAAATTCAGGAATGCTAGAGCGAGACCTATTACGTATTTGCCCATGGGTGACAGAGCATGAAAGGAACTGTCAGATTACAAAAAAAGTACGTTTGCACACACAGAACACAATATTTTAAAAAGCATTTATATGTGGCTGAATTCTCTTCCCTTGCAGCAGACAAAAAGATTTATGAAGATGCACAGATCACTGTCACAGCTCCTATATGATTAAAGAGAACAATTCCATATCCCAGTTGTGAAGATGCTTACAGGGAAAACACTGTTACCTTTCACTCTGTAAGGAAAAAAACTCTTACCCAAATATCACCACAACCACCAGCAGCTAAATAAAAGGCATTTTATTGATTTTTCAGTGTGTGTAAGCGTATCGATAAGAAAACAATTATTTTGGGATTTATTTTAATTATATGTCTGTGTGAGAGTATGGACATGTGAATACAAGAGTTCATGGAGACCAGAAGTGAGTGTCAGATCCCCTATAATTGGAGTTCCACAGTTTTATGAGCCACCATGTGGGTGCTGGGAACTGAACTTAGGTCCTCTGCAAGAGCCGTACACACTATTAACCACTGAGCCATCTCTCCAGCCCCTAGTATTTCTTTTTAAAATATTTTTTATGTTCCTTAAACATGCCTAGCTTCTATCATTCTCCTTTTATACTCTTTAGGAATAAACTAAAGTCTCTACTGGTGTGGAAAGTTGGGGTAAAGATATTAACTTGGGAAAGGGAATGTTAGTGAGTACCATAAAACATACATGTATTAATATGTATGCTATGAACTGAATGTTTATGCACACCCACTCCAAATTCATGTTGAAATCTTAACTCACCAGATGATGGTATCCGGAGGTGGGGATTTTGGTAGGTGAGAACATTAGCTCCATGAATAGAACTAGTGATTTATAAAGAGAAGCTCCTTTTCCACAATGAGAAGATATCATTTGTGAATGAGAAATTATCTTGCTCTTTGACTATCCAGCTTTAAGAACTGTGAGAAACAAAATTCTATTATTTGTAAGTCATCCACCTGGTGGCATTTTGTTTTAGCAGTTTAGGCTAAGATGGTGTACCACAATTTATCATCCCCAAAATCAAATGTAAGAAAATTTCTCCTCTGTAACAAATCCTGTCTTGCCATAGCAAGGAAAGAAAGATGTAAAATGACTATCTGGATCACAGAGCCTGAAAAAAATGTTGCAAGATAACTTTAGGTAACCAAAATGAAGCAGAATCGCCCACCTCAGCTCCCATTGTGAAATTATTCAAACAGAAGCTTTGATTTTCCAGTGTGTTCTTAATACTCAATTTTAGGACAGTATAGAAACCATGAGTGTCCTCCATTTTCTAGGAAAAAAAGCTTAGCTAAACTGTCTCCCAGATGAGACTTCATGTTATGTCTTAAGGTTTTGAGAGATTTAACCACTGGGTGATGAATTGTGCAGGAAACTAGCAGATGAAAGCTTCCTTTCTGCGTTGAAAATAGTTCTGAATAAGACCATCCACCTTCCCCTTGTTTTGTTCAATGATGGAGATCAAACCCAAGTACTCTACCATGAAACAAAGTTTAAGGGGATTATAAATTATTATGCTCTATAGCCTACAACTCATAGCACTACAGAATTTGGAGTGCTGTATTTGAAGCACCATGTAATTTTGGATCAAGAAAAAAGAATGTTTTCAGTTCCCCAAAGGTACCATACCCAAAATTACATAGAGTGGAAGAGTATTCTAAATTGGAAGCAGATAAAACCAATATGATGAAATCATGTGCACCAAAGAGACTAAAATCCATACTTTAAATGTCATTGAGCAAGATGGCTCAACAGATAAAGGTGCTTGCCACCAAGCCTGATGACCTGAGTTTGATCCCTGGGACCCATATAGTGGACGGAAAGAACTGACTCCTCAAAGCCATTCTTAGACCTCCACACACCCACTATGGCATGCACAAGCGTGCACACACACACACACCACAAATAATTGTCATATTATTTAACGCTGCTATTATAAAGTCAAGCCATTTGATGCTTAATGGAACTTTAATGGCCAAAATATAAGGGTCAAAAGAGAATATTTTTCAAAATCATTATATTTTGTTTTCTGACTCATTTTGTCTATATTTTCATATTTTTCTAATGTCTGGGCAATTTACCAGTTAAGAAAATAAAGAGAACATGTATATTGTTTTCATCCTAGATAATCTATGGCTAAAAATTAAGGTGGATTAGACAGTGGTATAAAATAGACATGCATTAGACAGTGGTATAAAATAGAAGGGCTCTACCCGCTCAGTCTTTTGTGTTTGCTTCTGAATCACCTCTCTATGATCAGTAGGGAGAGGCTTCTTGGAGGATCACATGAAAAATGACTCAAAGATCATATTAGATGCAGCTTGAGAGAGTGACTTGACTGACAAGTCTGCCATACCCACTAATTGCTCAAAATAAGAGAAAAAAAGCCATAAACGTTATAGTTTGGTTATTCAAAATGCACTTTTTATTCACTTTGACACAGACAATTTTTTTTACAACTGAAACAAAATATCTAATACATAATTTTGAGATTTTTAGCAGCACCAGCAACAAGAGAATTATGAAATACCTCAGGATAAAGTAGAGATGGCTGAGGCAGGCACAAATAAACCTGAAATTCATCAATCCACTGAAGACATATGGAATCTGAGGCCCCCTGAAAGCCAATACAGGACAATACCATAAATAAATATTTTATATGATGCTTTAATGGACCATTGAAAACCAGTATGCTTCTAATTAGAAATATATTACTCCAAAAATCTAGTGTTCATTGAAAAACACCTATTGAAAATATTGCACAGCACATCCTAGGGTACATAGTCAGTTTCTAAACCTATATGCACAGTTCCTGCTACTCACCGATGTCAGCCTTTGGTGTTTTAGTCTTACCCAAACTATACATCAGCACCTACTGAGCGTTACCAAAATGCCACTGTTTCGTCACCTAAAATGTTAAGTGTTTTCCTTAAAATATTGTGAAGTATTCTGGCAGGAAAAAAAGGTATGGCTAAGAAGAAAGGGGCTTCTGTTTACCTGCCAATAAAATTGCCATTTGTCTTGAAGGACAGGATGCCTATGAATTGAATACCCATGTGTATTTACTTTTACTCAATCACGTGCCATTCTACAGAGACAAATACTATTATGAGCTTGTGGAGGTTTTTATGAAGGCCTGAGATCTACAGATAGAAACTATTATAAGCAGAGTGCAAGTAGAAAGAGAAGGCCCCAGGTCTCATGCACTTAAAAATAATTATCATTTATTAATTCTGATATACATATTTTCACCCTAACATGACTGTAGCAAAATGACTGTAGAACTTTGAAACCAGTGTGGTTGGCTATAGGCATAGGCAGGATAGGAACCAATATTTAAGTGCTGTGGGGTCCCAGTTCTGGTTTTGACTTCTGGAATCAAAACTAATTGGACAATAGGGTCAGGACTATACAATAATTGGAAATACTGAGTAGGTCTAGGTTGAAATACTGTCCTCCTCTCGTCTATGTGGCCCAAAAGTCCCAGAGTTCTTAAAGCACGTAAGGTCCCACATGTAAGGCTGATTCCATATGTGGATACAATGGAGAATTCTAGGCTGTATTCCTGTGAAAGCTCCCGACTCATCCTTGGCCTACATCTCTTTGGGGGACCATTTCTAATTGTCCCTCTCTGCACTGGGTCACAGTTTTTATCATACTTATTTTAAAGCACAGATTAAAAACTATGCAAATCAACCAATAAGAACCAGACTGCACACTCATGATACAGTAGCATGTAATTGGCAGTCATGTTGTTCAGAAATTGTCAAACCACTTTTGTTTTGACTATGGTGTCTTTAGGATGTTCATTTCATAATAGTTGTTGTTAAAGGCTAATCACAGAATGGCTTGGGAATTTTTAAGGCCCTCTCCATAGTCTTAGCTGTGATTTTCACATAAATCCGACCAGAACACAGCACTGACATAGTTCATGAATTCAGAACTTAGAACTGGAAGGGACCTTATATTAAATATGTAGCCAGTACAGAAATCCTTTATATATTATCTTAACAGAAGGTCACTCAGTGAATAATTTCACCAGGAGGGAGCTCACTATTAAGGCAGACTATTCCACTTTTGAGCAAATCTAATTATGAGAAATTCATTCTAACCTAAAGTTAAAATCTGTTATTTTACGAGTTTCAGTGTCCTAGTTTTTCCAGCTGAAGAGTCAGTGAAACATCCAAAGAATCAGATCCTTCTCCTACAATAAATGAGTAGAGGAACCTTGCAAGAAAAGCCCATTTATTTCTCATCCTTTCCTGAAGCCTTCAGAAGCCAGCATAATGAACCACAGGACCATCTAAATTTTAAGCAGAGAGCACTGCACCCAAGGCCAAGTGCTAAGCAGCATTGCTAAATTGGTAAGAAGTTGTCAAAGAAGCAACATCTCTATGAAGCAACAGTAGACTTACGAAGGAAAAGCAGACCAACCATTTATTTGCAAAGGCAGTTGGCATATTTAAGCATAATCCATTCACTAGTGTCCTGTGACATCAAACACAAGGACTGTAATCAACCTCCAGTGTCATTAGAGTAACCCTTATTGAGATGGTACTTTTTAGTTCAGATGAGAGTAAATGATACATAAAGATTTGAACAAGTCAGTGTGCATTTTTAGACTTCTACATTATGTGACCATCACCACCTTTATTGTAATACAGCTCGGATTCTTACTTTTTCCTTTGGCAGAAATGTCAGAAACTGCTTGGCAAGAGTCTGATGGTGGCATTTGCTAGATGGTTAATGGAAAGCTTTAAGCCTTTCACTCCTTCATGCAGCTGGGTTCTAGGTTTAAACTGTGATTTTAAAACATTTAAATCTCTCAGGACTAAAAGTTTCTGAAATGTCCTGAGTCACAAAGGGAAAATAGCAGAAATCACACAAAATACACTTGGCTCAATAAAGCTTTTTTTTAAAAACCACTCTACAACTTCAATTTGATAGGCTCTGTTTCAAAATAGAGCCTTATCTTTTACCTTCTTATATGTGTGTGTGTGCACACTCCCAGAGAGGCACAGTAATTCTTATACTACTGACTGACCAACGTGGTACATACTTACTAAGATTCCCTACATTTAACAGCATGAAGAACCTGCCTTTGAGCCACTGTTCAAATCAATGGTGTTACCTAACATGCAATGTTCCAGCTGTTCCTCTACAGCTAATACCTGCCTGACAGCTTCTTCAAAGGCCACGGTCACATTAGTATCATCTTTGGCACTTGTTTCTAGATAAGGGTAATTCCCATTCTCCATGCACCAGGCTTTTGCCTCCTCAGTTGTCACTTGCCTATCCTCTTTGTCTACCTTGTTACCCAGAACGACAAAGGGGAAATGCTCAGGGTCCTTCACATCAGCATAGTAGATAAATTCTTTTTGCCAGTTACCAAGGTTCTCAAAGCTCTGTCGGTCATCCACACTGAAGGTCAACAGGCAGCAGTCCGCTCCCCTGTAGAAAGGTGTTCTAAGGCTCTTGAAACGCTCCTGCCCAGCAGTGTCCCAGATCTGAAGTGTTACAAAGCGTCCATCTACCTCCAGATCTCGATTTAAGAATTCTACCCCTATAGTATGAAAAGCCTGGGAATCGAACTTATTGGTTACATAACGGTTCATAAGTGAGCTTTTTCCAACTCCACCATCACCCAAAAGAATGACCTTTAAGAGAAGGGATTTCCCACTCATTGTTGTAGCACCAAATGGGGAGGAGTTTGTAACCAAGAGAACCTGAAAATAAATTTTTAAAAAGGGAGGGAAAACAGTTAAATCTGAAACAAATCAACGTCATAGCAAACCTCCCTGAATTATGAGGCCTTCTGATTTAGCTTCTCTTCTTTCACCATTAATTGATTTTAGATAGGAAAAGAAATAAAACTTTTTGAAAAATGGGAAACAGGCCTTGTTTTTCTGAGCTCTCCTACTTGGCAAGGAATGGTGGAATGCTGTGAGCAAACCAACTAGCAGAAGGTCCTTGAATTTACTGGGTTCTGACACTATTCTAGGTGAGAGAGCCTTGAATAGAAATGTCACTCAAATATGTGACCATATTAGCTTCCAGTTTGGACTGTTGCAAACAATATGCAAATATTATGAAACTTATTTGAGGTTTAATGTCTGCTCCTAAGGGACCCATGAATTACTGAAAGTTGTATAAGTTGTATTCATGATTTTGTCAGTAGAGTTCCAGGCCACAATTAGCCTTATCTGAGAATATGGAAAAGAGAAAAAATCCAACTTCCTTTTTAAAAAAATCTTTTCTTCTTTGTTATTATTTTATGTGTATGAATGTTTTGCCTGCATGTATGTAAATGCACCATGTGCCTGCAATGCCAACAGAGGTCAGAAGAGGGCATCAGATCCCCTGGAATTAAACAGTTGTTAACCACCACGTGGGTGCTAGGAACTGAGCCTGGGTCCTCTGTAACAGCACTCAATGCTCTTAACTGCTGAGCTATCTCTCTAGACCCAACTTTCTTTATGCATTTATTCCATTATATTTTCACTGAGATGGATACTCTAATAAGCAATGACTTTTTCATAAATTTTTCTTCATGGTATAATGACATATATGTTAATAATGATTGAATGATACTAATAAAAAGATATCAGGGAAGAAAAATTTGATTGGTTTATAAATTTTTGAATTTAAGTTTTAATTCCATAAAACCACCATATGAAAAGACATGGTAAAATTCAAAGTGTTAATAAACATAGTATTTTTTTCTTGTTACCTACACAGCATACCTATGCACAGACTACCTAGAATACATGATAGAATTAAAACATCAAATATTTACTCAAAATGTACCGTATGCTATATTCTGTTAGGTACTTTCATATTAGGTCCACTATTGGGGCTCAAGAATGATGAAGCTACTTGGGTTATATTTATGCTAGAGCCTCAAGGGGATGAAAACTAAACACCAATCACAACCACAGAAAAGCATGCAAAGAGCTTCTGGAAGCATGCACATTTAAAATATAATTTTAAAAACAAAATAATTCTTAAAATTATTTTGGAATGCATGTGTACCAATTATATATTTATATAAATATTCACTTTTAACACATTAAAGGCTTAAAATATCAAATTGGTCATGTGCCATCATGAAATACCTACCCAGTTGAGGTTTTAAAACACTTTTAATCCTTTCCTTTGTTCCTGTTGTTACTTTATTCTTTCTTTTTTAGGGTTCTGAAAAACAGAATGGAAAACATTTTTAACAATCTATAATAAAATGAAATTAAATGTACATAAAAAACACATCCAATTCAGGAAAAAACAGAGCAAGCTCAAGTAACTTATAGAGGATGCTATCCACAAATATATTTAAGAGTTTAAAATGTTACAGAGGTTTAATGAGACAAAACTAATTCTATTGCTGGAACTTCAACTAGTCCTAATTTGAGTGTTCTTCATGTGAGTTTTAAAACTACATTATCTTTCCACTGAATTCACCATTCAAAGTAAAAGTAAATTTTAAAAGTAGGTATTATTTACAAGGGGTGAAATTTGGGAAAATGGATTTAATATAAGCCAGAGACTGTATTCCTGTATTCCTTCTTTTTATACCTACCAACATTCCCACTTCCAAAAATATTAGTGCACTCACCGATCTGCCTTGAGGCTGTCTGAAATGGACACAAGGATTTTTGTTTGTTTTTGGAAAAAAGGTCTCTCTCTCTCTCTCTTTGTTTTTGGGAAAAAGGTGTCTCTCTCTCTCTCTCTCTCCTCTCTCTCTCTCTCTCTCTCTCTCTCGTCTAGACCAGGCTGGCCTTGAACTCACTGAGATAGGCCTGCCTCTGCTTCCTGAGTGCTGGGATATCAAAGGTGTGCACCACCACACCCGGCCACAAGGTCTCTTGTATGTAGCCCAAACTGGTCTGGAGTTCCCTATGTAGCCCAGGTTAGCATTAAACTCCTGATTTTCCTGCCTCACCCTCCTGAGTGACTGGGTTACAGGTAATCACCACCATGCCTAGATTGAATACAGTTTTTAATATTTGGCTGTCCTTTCACATGTTCAAGCACACAGTCTCTTAATATTATAATTAATTATGACAAGTCTTGCTGAGGTAAAATCAGAGTAGTGGTCTAAAAAGAAAAATAATCCCTATACCTGTTAAATATTCTTTTTTGTGGAGAAATAAAGATTAAAAAAATAGCTCCCAATGCTTAATAATCTTTTGTCTTTTTCTTCTTTTTTATTAATTTTTTCTTCCATATAAGGGCCAATCACCTATATGTATATATTTGTTTTAATTTTATTTTTATTTTATGTGTATGAGTGTATTGCCTGCATGTATGTGAGTACACTCATGTCGTGCAGTGCTGTGGAGGTCAGAAGAGGGCGTCAAATTCCCCTGGAACTGGAGTCAAGGACTTGTAGTTGCCATGTGGGTGCTGGGAATTGAACACAGGGCCTCTGCAAGAGCAGTCAGTGCTCTTAACCGCTGAGCCAAAGGGTGATCAGATATTCACCAGCTACCTAAATCAGTAGTTATAAATTTACACAATAACTTATAAGTTGATAGGATTTATCCTCCTTCTTAGTCTAAATCTACTCTAGAGAATTCTTAAGTTTCCTACAATTCCTATTTGTTTGGTTTCTGTTTTCTCTTTCCTGCTTTCAAATTTCTGTCTTTGAAACTAGATCAAGTAACAAACTTTCTTGACATGAAGGTAAAACAGATGTGTTAGCACAGATTTTTAATTCTCTTTTTGGTTTGATTTGGTTTGGTATATTGAGGAGGGAACCCAGGGCCTCAGCATGCTAAGCAAATCCTCTAACACTGAGCTATGCTACCAGTTCACACTTACTCATTTTTAATACTGGTATATAGGATAATGTTACAGTTCAAAACTCTTCAACTTTCATTTTTAAAAGTAATAGAAGGAAGTACAAATTTGGATTTACTACAGATGGCTGGTATTATTGATGGTACCAAATGAGTTCCCTAAGCGCCAAGCAAACAGGTGTTGACATCATTAAATAACTCACTAAACTCTATCTTCCCAGCTATGGATAATATCACTAAATAAGTTAAGGGCTGAATGAATTTGGAAACTAAAATTCCAGCTCCAGAAATAATGATAAAGTATTAATAACTGAGAGAATTCCTTACTTGGTGATATGCACACCTAACTTCTGAGTACATAAGCTCCATGCCAGCGGAAAAAGAAAAGCAATGGGATTCAATATCATGAGTACTGGGCTGGAAGCAACCAGGCACCAGGGTCTTCTTTGCTGTTATAGCATTCATTTATTTTATGAACTTGGGCAGATCATTTAATGTCTGTCTGCTGTTTCACTTTATTCTCATATAAACACAGAGCCTGAAATACGCCCCCTCTTTACTCACAAGATTTAGGGGTGAACAACTTAGGAATTTTGTAAGGGTTTGTAGGCAATTCTTGACATTTATGGCATCAAACTTTGTTCCTCTTGCTCTTCCATCTCCTTTCATTCATGGGTGGGGGGCCTGTAACCTCTTTGGAAGGGCCTGTTAGTGGGAAGATAATTTCTTGTTTTTCTTTAATGTGTAAAAATATCTTGTTTCCGAACAATTACGAACATCTGCATATGGCACAGAAGTGACCTTCAGTGTTGAAGGGACCTTCACGATCATCTGGTCTAAGCCTACTGCTGATGTCTGAGAAAGCACTGAGTGCCTACTGTGTGCTGTGTCCTTACCAAAGTGATCCTCTCTCTCCTCCTATCATCTCTAATTCTCATTTGTCTGCTAAAAGTAGAAAGAAATAAAATTTAGACTTGTCTCCTTCCCTTCAGTGACTATATCCTGTTGATTTTGCCTCCAAATATGCATTCCCAGTCCAGTGCTCCCATCTTCATTTTTGGAGATGAGGGTCTTGCTATGTTGCCCAGGCTGGTCTCAAATTTGTGGACTCAAGTGATTCTACCTTCCATGACATCCTCTCAAACAGGTAGGATTACAGACATGCATCACTGTGTCTGGATCCACTGCCATTTTGACCAGCATTTTCTCACATCTAATTTCTTATGAGAGGTTTTTTTTTTAGCTCTTTCTTCCTGCCTCTGGTTTCTCCTCACCCAATCTATTTTGTAAAGTTTTAGCACTTGAACATCCAATAGATGTAGCTATGTTTGGAGATGTTTAAGGCAAGGACATGCCTGTCCATAAGGAATTTACAAATAAATAACTAAGCTTCAGCTCTCAAGCAGGGATGGCTGGCTGAGACTAGTGGTAGGACCACTTGCCTAGTATATGTGAAGCCCAGAGTTGGAATCTCAGTGGAGTTCTTTTTCACATTAGGGAAACACAGGATGATTACTGTTCAAAATAATCAATTATATTTTAAAATAACCAAAGAGGCTGTACCTCAGCTGGTACAGTACTTGAATGAATGCACAAAGCCCTGGGTTCAATTCCCAGCACCACACAAAGCTAGGCATGGGGTCACATCCATATAAACCTAGGACTGAGGAAGAAGAGGCAGGAGGGTCAGAAGTTCAAAGCCATCCTCAGCTAGTGGAGTTCAAGGTCATTCTGGAATACATGAGGACTTTTAGGGAAGAGTGAGGGGTTGATAAGTGTGGGAGGGAGATAAGAGAGGGCTGGAGGGGTGAGAACAATCAGAATGCACTATATATGTATGAAATTATCAATACGGAAATTTAATAAGGTTATTAAATTTTTTAAATGGAAAAATAAAACATTTTCTATTGAGCCCTTTACAGAAAAAACTACAATATTAAAGTTCCCAATGCAAAGAAATGACTAATATTTTGAGAAAATAAAATTACCACAATTCTATCATATGTTGCACATATATATCAAATTATCATATTGTACCCCCAAAATATGTCCACATATAATGTCTCAATAAAACATCTTTTTCTTTGCAGTTTATTGTATTATCGCATTGCTTGATGTTAACATTTTTTAAACTATGTCTATCCTATACAACCAATTTTAAATTTCTGAATAGTAGGAACTCTGCTTGTATATATCTTTGAAGCCCCTTCAGCATTTTGTACCAGAATCCTTCACAGAAATAATCAGTGAGTATTTATGGTTTAACAGATTAGTTAGGTGTGTACCCAGAATTGATACCTCTGAATTTACACCAAGGTAAAATAGATCTGCAATTCTGTAAGATATCCAAATATTATTATATATACTAAAGAGTGTAAATTATTAATTTATCTGGATCACTTTTCAGACAGGGCTTGCAGGAATTCCACCTGTTGAAGATCAATGGAAGTTTTCCAATTTCCTTTATGCTAAACTCTTATTTTGAAATAAATATATATTTCCAATACTATCTCCATTCCTACCAAAACCAAAAGCAGAATTATATCCACTTTATATTTTCAGTGGATGCCGTCAACCCTAATATCAGTCATTATTGTTTGAAAATGAATGTGATGCCCTTTAGTATATATTCAAAGTAAAGGAACTAGAATAGTATAAAAATCAATGAAACAGTTCTGGAACTCTGTGATAGTCTCCATCTGTTGCAAAAAGAAGCTTCTTTGATGAAAGGTGAAAGGTACACTTGTCTGTAAATATGAGGATGCATATTTAGACTAAAGTAAGAAATTATGTTGGTCCATAGACCATATTATATATATTAGAGTATGTTAAATTGAGCGGCAGCAGCGTGGGTAGGTGAGGATAGAGAAGGGGATCTAAATACCATCAAACAATATTGTATGAAAATCACAAAAATTCAATAAAACATTTTAAAATGAAACAGAATTCCCTACCCCAGAATATGCCAAATTTGATCTAAACCTTTAAAAAAGGCATTAAGCAGAGATATTACTTCTTTGATAATAATAATAAATACATTTAATATGAAGGTCAAATTCAGTATGCATCCCTTATGGATCCCATATCAGACTAGATCTGAACCAAATATTCTTTGTTCTCTTCTCCCACCCCAGACCCCTAGTACTGGGAATATAACCCAGAGCAATATACATCAAATACTCTACCATTGAGCTACACATCCAGCGTCCCTGGGTCACAATATTTATTCTAATTTTGGTTCCATTCAGAGAAATACCTGGATTTGACTCAAATATCTAAGAGAGGCAACTGCCCTTTTCTACCCTGCCAAATGAATTAATAATCACTCTAAGGATGTTTTATTCACTTTTTTTTCAACTTGGGTCTCAGTCTTGGACAATAACGTGAGACAGAAAGTCACATAACCAATATTCCTAGGTCTTTTTCGTCAATGCACTTGAAACCTTTTGGATCAGCTATGCTTGCACCCACACAAGCTTATTAAGATTACAGAGTTTAGTTGGGGATGCTTGGAAGTGGGGGTGGGGGCAATACAATGAAGAGATAGGCTGAGCCTTTGAAAATAATGCATTTTCTTATGATTATGGAGAGAAGAGAGGCACACAAGCAAATTGGCAACGTAAGTTCAGTTGCCATGGGGTAGGATGATGCTCAAAATCAGCAGCGCAAATTGTTTGGGAACACGTCTTGACAGGAATGTGTACTGCAGGGCAGGGTGGGTGAAGAGCAACAGGGGAGGACTAGACAATGGATGAGAGTGGCCGTGATGGAAATCTGCACAGGAGAGGGACCATGCTTGGGGCTGTGAGGAAAGCCCATCCTGTGGCCAAATGCTGATTAGAGTCATTCAACTTACTGCTGAATCCTGGAACAATATTCAGAAATACTGCACTGGAGAAATGGGTGTGGCTTTCTTTACTGTATGTAAAAAATCAACCCAAAGAAGAAACTATTAATCTTTGAGATCCTCTAATTTAAATGGTGTACATTGGTTCCCATACCACCTGATGCTGGGAAGAGGGTTGTTTTGTGTCAGGGAAGCCCTCTGACGCACTGGATTTACTTTGCAGAGCTAACAGTTATCAGCTACACCCATACTCTAAGTCTACACGTCACAGTTGTCACACCACTTTAATTGTTCCTAACTTCATGCCAATATTTCCGTCTTCTGCGCAACTCAAAGGGTCCAATGTGAAATTTCCTGTGTAGCCTTTCACTCCTCATAACAGCTCTGGGATAATAATCCTAAAGACACACTAGATAGCCACTTGGCACTGTCCCCAGGCCACGTCTTCCTTAGTCGGCGGCCTAGAGGTTATTAGGTAAGGTTTTCAGGACATTAAAGAAACATCCTTTGGAGACCAGGAATGCTGGCAACTCTGTAATAGGGACATTGTCAATACTGGGGACTTAGAAAATGAAATGTCATGCATAGTCCAACTACCTCGTACCCAGGTCCTCTCACCTCAGCTCTCAGAAGCAGAAGGCTGTGGCGCATGCGCACTGAACCACACCCGCTCCCCACGGAGCCCTGCGCCTCTCTGCCCTGCTTTGGCAGCCACTCCAGATTACTCAGCAACGCCCCCCTCCACCCTCACTTACCCCCAGTGCAACCCCAGTAGCTCTTAGTCCCCTTTTCTGAGGTGCGAGTGGCTCCGGAGATTACCTAGGCTACCCCTTCTCCGCCTCTCCCAGGGCCCCACCTCCTGGCCTCCCGGGTCCTCCAGCCCTAGCCCCTCTTCCTGCCCACGCACCGGCACCTTACCCAGCACAATGGGAAGGAGAAAGGACCGGGCTACAGACGCCAGGCAGGTCAGCTCTGCGTGCCTCTAGCCTGGCTCCTCAGCGACAGGGTCACAACTCCTGCTGCCGCCTCGTCCTCAGTGGGGCAGCAAGTGCAGCTTGGACCTCGGTGGCCCGACAGCTGCCGCTCGCTCCCGCCGCTGCCGCGCGCAGCGTCTCGCGCCCGCGCCCGGCAGGCAACGGGGCGGGGCCCGCGACGCCTCCGTGTGCCCCTTTCCCTGAGCTGGAGACCTACAGCAGCCTCCTCCCGCCCTCTCCTGGGGAGAGTGCTCCCTGGCTGGCTTGCTCTTCCCTCATGATCACCCTCCAACCCGTATCTCCCTAATCTTTCCTCCCCTCCCTTAGCTGATTAGAAGTCCCAGCAACCATAGACCATCAAATAATTGCTCTCTGGCTTAGCTTCTCTACGGTCGGGGAGCCTAAACTCTCAGGCCAAGCTAGCCATAGTCTCATTTCCTGAAAATACTCTTCTGTTTATCTCATTTACCAAAGAACCAAATCTTTCGTCATTTTTTTTTGTTTCAAATATTGCAGGAAAACATGCACTCACAACACATTAGTAGGCCCTGTGGCTACTGTTCATGAAATTCTGACACTCCAAAAGGAATGATCCACATCTACAGCTCAGACGTAGAAAGCACGCAGCCATTTACCTGTACTGGTTACTATCCTAGAGTACCACAGACAATGGTACGTGAGTTCCAGGAACTGTTAGTGGGGGAGAATTCAGTGTTCCAATTGTGCTTAGCCACCAAATTAGTTCGTTCTTATTTCCTGGGGACCTCTGGTACCTTCAACTACTTTGTGATCCCCCTTCCCCCTCTGTAACCAAAGGAAGACAAATCTCGAGGTAATTTATCCTGCACTCCATCCATTTATCAGTTAAGATTAATCTTAAGGGTCACTGCTATCTGAAAACCAGTGCCTGCATGGTGCTGCACCCTCAACCATGTACTCCTCCCACACAATACGCTCCTCCACCCTCCATCTATGCCACTGTCCCTCTACCTTTTCACAAGGCAAAACAATCTCAGTAGGCCTCAGTGTAAATGCCACTTCTCAGGATAACCTTTCTCCACACTCCCAAAATGAAGACAATGCCTTATTTATCTCTTAAAGCCTCTTCTGACTTTCTGTACTTTTATTTCATATCACTAGTTTGTGATGATATATACTTAAATATCTACTTATTTGGTTACAGCTGCTTTCCCCACAGAACTATACTGCACTTTGGGTTCAACTACTGTGTTTGAGTTTATCACTGTATCACCCAAAGTTAGATGTGTATGATGTAATAAGGAAATATTTATTGAGTATGAATGAATAATATCAATAAATATTGATATTTTAAAGTAAATGGATCTAATGGAATGTCTTGTGCTCTTTAAACCAGGATCACTTCTGACCCAAACACACTGTAACACTCGTATGATGGAGAGAAAATGTATAATATCCTCTAATTTTTGCTCATTCAAATATGTAATAAAAGAAAATTACTGAGCATGACCCTTCTACAGTTTGGATATGGTTTGTCCTTCAAAGGTTCATGTGATAGAAGTTTGGTCCCCAGTGTGGTGGCATTGGGATGCTGGAACCTTTAAGAGGTAGGGCCAAGTGGAAGGTAATTAATTAGGTCCTCGGGGCTCTACCTTCATGAATGGATTAATGCTGGTCTCAACAAGTGGGTGGGTCTCTCAAAAGTGAGCTAAATCTCATGGTAGCAAGATGTTACAAAGTAAGGGCACCTATGAACTTGTCCTGGTCTGTACTCAGCCCATGTCCTTTTTTGCTTCTTCACCATGTTGTCACTCTCCCGGGATTCCTCATAAAGATATTGATGCCATTCTGTTTGGATCCTCCAACCTCTCTAATGGTTAAAAAAAGCAAGCGTCTTTATACATTTCCCAAACTCAGGTATTTTATTATAGCAGTACAAAATGGATTAAGGTTCTAATATTTGTATGTGCACTTACAATTTATATGCATGTGATATTTATACATATTTTATGTTTATTACATATTATTTTATATATGCATTGTAAAGCACATGCGCAAAAATATTCCAATATGGGAATTCTGAAAGAATGAAAAATGTAAATATATTGGTGTCTCAAAGTTTATTTTCTGCACCCTAATAACATGTTCTGTGAACTTCTCTAAATAATTGTCCTTACTAGAGTCTCATCTTCAAGCATAGCAATCTATACTACTTTGTTCTTTTTCCAGTGATGCTGTTTTCCAACAGTTTAATAATCTTTGAGAATCTCCCAAACCTACTTATAAGTGTTAAAGGCCTTTTCATTTCTAGACTTGGATACCTAGTTTTGTAGCTATGATCTCATGACTGCTAAAGATATCACACATTTGGAGAATGCCAGAAACCATAGGGGTAACCAAAATCCCATGTTAATCCAGAAACTCCTAAATGCAATGATATATTAAGAAAGTATGTAGACTATATAGTTCTTAGAAGAAACATGGAAGTAAAGTTTTATAACCTTGAATTAGGCACTGCTTACTTAGATATTATGCCCCAAAAATACATAACAAGAGATTACATCTGACTTCTTCAAAATAAAAATCTTTTGTGCTTCAAAAGACACCATCAAGAGGTTGGGGAGATGGCTCAGTCAATAAAGTGCATGCCATGCAAGCACGAGAACCTGAGTTTCGATCTCTAGCACCTACATAAAAAGAAGGGCATAGCAGTGTGCATCTGTAACCCCAACAATAACCCAGCACCAAGGGTCAGAAACAGGCAGATACCACAAGTTCAGTGCCCCGCCATCCCTGCCAATTTGTGAGCAACAGGTTTAATTAGAGACCCTGTCTTTTAAAATATTTAATTTAGTGGCTAGAGAGATGACTCCATGGTTAAGTGCACTGTCTGCTCTTGAGGAAGATGCAGGTTTGAATTCCAGCACCCATGGGAGCTAACAACATTCCATAACTCCAGTTCCAGGGAATCTAATGCCTTCTTCTGTCCTCCTCAGGCATTGTACAGCATGGATACACTTACATACATGAAGCCAATACACTTATATACATAAGACAATAATAAATAAAAATATTTTATTTAATGTGTGTGAGTAAAATAAAAAGTAAAAAAAATATGTTACTTAATGTGTATGAGTGTATTGCCTGCATATATGTAAGTGCACCTGTGTCATACAATGCACAAAGAGGTCAGAAGAGGGTGTTGCATCCCATGTAACCGGAGTTATGAATAGCTTGTTAGCCTCCATGTTGATGCTGGGAATGGAACCTGGGTCCTCTGCAAAAGCAGCCAGTGGTCTTAACTGCTGAGCCATCTCTCCAGCCCCAAGAGAACTTGTCTTAAAAAATAAGACAGAGAGTGACCAAGGAAGACACCTGAAGTCAACCTCTTGCTTCCACAAACACATGTACACAAACCCACATGAACATATACCTAACACACACACACACACACACACACACACACACACACACACACACACAATGTGAAAAAGACAATTCAAATTAGGAATATATATTTGTAAAAAATTTTTACAAAAACTTTATTGAGAATTTCATACATGTATATAACATGTTTTGATCGAATCCATGCCCATTTCCTCCTCTTCAACATTCCCCCCTTTGAAGAGGTAATCCTAAAATCTTTTAAGGACTAGATATAAGCTCCCAAATACTTTTGACATTTTTGGCCTTTGAAACAGAGTAGGTCGCTAACAGGCCCAAGGAATATATATTTGTAAATCATGTGTCTGGTAAGACGTTTATAGTAAGAATATAGAAACTATGTGCAATTTAGAGATTAAAATAATAACCTAATTTTAAATATGAGCAAATGGGACCAGTGAGATTGTTTACCATGTAAAAACACCCACTGTTTCAAGCCTGATGACCAGAGTTTGATTCCTGGATGCCATGTAAAAGCTGAAGGAGAAACTGGACTCCTGAAAGCTTTCCTTAACCTCTACATATGCACCATGGAATCACACACATTGCACATACATGCACACACATGATAGTAATTATAAAAAAAAACTGCAGGGCATGGTATCCCATACATTTAATCTCTGTATTTGGAAGGCAGAAGCAGGGGAATCTTTGTGAGCTAGATGCCAGCCTGATGTACATAATGAGTACCAGGCCAGCCATGGCTACATAGTGAGACCTTTCCACAAAAAATTAAACCGGTTTTACAAAAGTAAATAAATAAAATAAGCAAATACTCTAAATAGACTTTTCACAAAAGATGCACAAACAATTAGTAAATGTGTAAAATGCTTGACATCATTTATCATCAAGGAAATGCAAATTACAACCACAAGAAGGTACCATACCACACCTATTAGTAAAGCTATAATCAAAAATTCAGATAATACTAAGTGTTGATGAGGATGTGGAGAAAATGTAAAGTGTTGCCTATGTATATTCAAGGTTAGAATATGAAATGCTGCAGCCATATTGGAAAACAACCTAGCAGTTTCTGAAGAAGTGAAACATAATCAGGAATGGTGATGCATGCCTATAATCCCAGCACTCGGGTGGCAGAGGCAGGTGGATCTCTCTTAGATCAAAGCCAGCCTGGTCTACATAGCAAGTTCCAGGGAGACCCTGTCTCACAACAAACAAAAAAGTTAGTGTAAACATACTTTCACATAAAGAATCTACAGAATTGTAGATTAATCCCAGCACTCGGGTGGAAGAGGCAGGTGGATCTCTCTGAGATCAAAGCCAGTCTACTCTACATAGCGAGTTACAGGGAAAGCCTGTCTCTTGACAAACAAAAAAAGTTAAACATAGAGTTATAGTGTAATCTAACAATTCTATTCATAGTAAAAGACCCAAAAGAAATGTAAACATATATTGATATAAAGCATCTACACAATTGTTTACTAAAGTACTATTCATAATAGACAAATTATGAAAAACTCAAGCATCCATCAATTATAGAAGTCTTACAAAATGTGATATATCCCAACAATGGAATATTATTCGGTCACAAAAAGAATAAAGTACTGAAATGCTATAACACGTGTGAACTTTCAAAACATTCTACTAAGTGAAAAAAATATTGATCACAAAATTCTATCTTATGTGACTCTTATGAATTACAATAGGGCGAAATACAGAAACAGAAATAGATTATAGATTGCTTAGGAC